GTTTCAAAAAAACAAAACAATGTGTCCAAACAAATTGTTCCCCAAAAAATCATTAACCCCAATAAACGTACCCAATTTGCATTACCTGACTGATTATCCTTCTTCAAATCTTGTAGACTTTCTCACCTCTGGTTTCTCCAACGGGTTTCACACTGGCTTTGTTGCACTCCCCACAGGTATTCTAGAATGCCCCAACCTACAATCCGCACTCACAGATCCAACTAGTCTGCAGGAACTCCTCAATAAAGAAATTGAGAATGGTTTCACTACCCCACCATTCACTTCGTGGAGAATGAACCCTCTAGCCATAGCTACAGGGAAATTTAACAACAAAAAGAGACTCATCATCGATTTCTCAGCACTTCACTCTTCTACTACCCCTAGTTTAAATGCACTAATACCATCAGAGGATTTCTCGTTACAATATGCAAAAATAGTCAATGCCATACAAGCTATTATTAATTCCGGCAAGGCAGCTTGGTTAAGCAAAACAGACATCACTAATGCTTTTAAATTAATACCAATTTATCAATCACTCTGGCATCTACATGGCGTTAAGTGGGAGAATAAATACTATTTTGCAACTAGACTGACTTTAGGCTCCAAAAGTAGCCCAAAAATCTTCGATATTTTTGCAGAAACCTTGACCTGGCTCTTACTTAACAAAAGCAGATGTCCAGTAGTGATTCACTATCTTAACAAATTTCTCTCCATTTAACCACACTACTACCATGCAGTCTACAACACATGCTTTCTTTATTTAAAGATCTGGGAGTTCCAGTAGCCCCAGACAAAACAGAAGGTCCCAGCATCGAAAAAACATTCCTGGGTATCACGCTAAATTCAGTATCCATGCAAGGCTAGCCTGCCTCAGGAAAAGGCAGACAGGGTTTTAACATATATTGAAGTCATGGGTCTTGAACCAGGAAGGAATAACAGTCACTTTTAGGTTCACTCAACTTCGCTACGAGGATTTTTCCTCAAGGAAGGTCTTTCATCTCTAGAATATTCTCTCTTCTACACAGTCTCCCTGACGACGACTCTAGAACTAGTTTAGATGAACCAGACAGGGCCGACCTAAGAATGTGGCATGTCTTTTTATCCTCTTGGAATGGCAGGTCCTTATTCGCTCCCCCCGTCTCTGACGATTCCCCTGTAATATGGACTGACACAGCAGGAGCCATAGGTTATGCTGCTGTTTTCAGCAAGACTGGGTATATGATATTTGGCTACCAGAAACCTCCACCCTAGAGAATTTTAACAAAACCTCAGCACTGTTTGAAATCTTCCCAATAGTAGCTGCAGCACACATATGGGGCAAGGAATGGAAAGGTAAAACAGTTAGGTGCTTTTAAGGCAACTTAGCGGCATGTAACATTATTAACAAAGGCCGCTCTCAATCCCTTACAATAATGAATCTAGTAAGGAAACTTACCTGGTTAGCTGCAAATCTACAGTTCTGTGTATGTTGTATCGACATACCAGGCATTCAGAACAACGCAGCTGACGCTCTGTCACATTCTAATTTACAGGAGTTTTTCAGAATACATCCTACAGCGAACGTTCAGCCCAAAGAACCTCCACAGTTCACAGACCTAATTATGCTTTGAATACGCTGTTAAAACACAGTAGATTGCTCGTACAAGCTGGTTTGTCAATTAATACTAAAAAAGCTTACACTAGAGCATATGATCTGTTTAAAATGTTTGTGCATGATTATAATGTAATAAATGTTTTTTTGTAGAAACTATGGTCGCATTCACAACTTTTTGCCACATCTCTTTGAGACTAGCATACAATTCAATTAAACTTTACTTCGTAGGCATACAACATTACATGTTAACTATATACCCAAACAAAACTCCAATCTTATCTTCATATCCAGTCAAAAGTATCCTGAGAGGTATTCAGAGACTAGAACATCTGAATCCCCTTAACATATTTAGGAATTATTAGATAAAAGCCCTTTCAACAATCTCACTAACACGGTAATCAAGTCAGCGGCTTATTTGGGATATTACAGTTTCTTGAGACCCAAAGAATTTTCTGTGGAGAAAGCATCTGACTTTTAGTCATGCCTTAAGCAAAAACACTTAGCAAAAGTGAACGACCATTATATTCTGTCAATCCCTCATACCAAAACTAGCCAGACAGGCCTCCCAGTAGAAATTAAGTATTATCCTACCTTTTCCAAATGGTGTCAAATATTAGTATTGGATAACTTAATTAAGAATCAGTTCACAGCAAACCCAGATTATTATTATTATCCCTTCAAGGGAAACCTCTTACCACCAAACAATTAATGCTACACATACGCACACTATTACTCAGGCTAGGCCACAATCCACATTCCTTCTCCGGTCATTCATTAAGAATACGGGATGCTGGAAACCACATTCCAAAACCAGAAAAGGAAATCAGACTTGCTTTCCATGAAATGTCTAAATAATGTTTTGCGAAATAAATAAAATAGTTTTCATAATTTTTGCCCTCTTTTTTACAGGTCTAACCTCATGTCGGTTTTCGGCACACCTCAACTGACTTTCTTCTTATCAAATTACATTCAATTACAACCATACATTACACTATTATCCTGTACACAAATATTTATTTATGGGTTTTTTTTCATTTGTACTATCAGCAGATTTATCCTGTCAATATGCATAAATTTGTAATAATCGTTCCAAAAAGCTTTTTAATTGACTAAGTAAAATTCCTGTTTACACCTTAAAACACTCCTGTGACAAAATTAATTTTCTGGTTTCTCTTTCTCCTTTTTTTTTTCTTTCTCGTTTTCCTTTTATATTAAATAGTCACCACCTCAATATTGGAAAATCAGGGATTTAGGAAAAGGAAGAAAAGTCCAGTTAACATGCACATATATATAATAAATTATTTTAAAGGGGGTAAGATATACCATTATATCCCTTAATAGTTTTAAAAAAAATAGCAACAAAAGTAGCAAAGTAGCAACTCACATAGAAGTTTGAAGCTTGCAAGTGTATCTATTTGTAACTCTATCTGCTCAGGTTTTCCTGTTGATTGGAAAAACTTCTTTGCACCCTCTTGTATAGGAATCAGCTGTCTGGTGTTCACCCTATCTCTTTTATGGTATCACCCAGCACCTCAGTCTCAATGAGGGAGACCCATCCACTTCAGCAGTAATTCATATAGCCATAGGCGGTACTCCTTGCGAGTAGGGTAGGGATCACCACCAGGCTTCCCCGTTGCTTCTCAGCCATCTCTCAAAGTCACCCCTTCCATGATTTCTCCCTGCAGCATCAGCTCACTCTCTGTTAGATTCTCATCATGCCATCAGGAGCATAGCATCATGTTTCAGGTCATTGCCGCTTTTCTACCCCTGTCAGGCAAAAAGTCAGGCATATCGTGATGACTTTCAGATTAGATATTCCAATGCTTAAAGTTTTTTGTTTGTTTTTTAAATATAAGATGCTTGTGGGTAGAAATGTGAAATAAACTTAATTATGGTTGCACCTATTGATGAACTTTTTGACCAATCCTTATTTCTTACCTGTGTCAATTAACTGTCCAAAACCTCTGAAAGGTAATCCCGCTCCATAAATCTCATTGCCATAGCATCTCCTTGCTGTTCAATGTTATCAGTTTGAGATACTGACCTATTGACTCGCCTAAATTGACTTTTCGACAAAGTCTTGAACATGAAAGTGGAATGGAAACTAGAAAAATGTAGCATTGTTTTTATGTCTAGCATTTTCTATAAAGATAAGTTTCCAGTTTATTACCTGAATTTTTTTTAATAATATCCAAAAAGCTAAGCTCACAAAATCATAGGCCATGGTAAACTTGAAGAAATTCATACCAGAGTTCAAAAAAGAATAAACATTTCCAAAATATGAACACTCCCACAAAATAAATGTTATATTTATTATTTTTACATTTGTTTTAAATTAAATATATATATATATATATATATATATATGTTACAGTTA